CGGCAAAGTGTGCCGAGTTGCCGAGAGATTGCACCTCGAGAAGGGTTCAGTCTTCCCTTGCCCAGAAGAAAAGAAACATAAAAGCGATTGTCTGCATTGAAAGCTACGATGCGTGTACGCAAACGCTCCCTCCAGCCCATTCACAGTGCGACTCGCACAACACGATACAACGACAAGAATACATCATGACAAACAACATGCATGTTTTAGCCTCTTGAAATACAGTGAGAAGCCTTCATACCAGGGTGCCCATGGTTTCAAGTGGTTGTAAAGGTAGTCGGCCTCTACTCCGCGGAGGTTGAGGGGCACTAGCCCTTATGGCTTCCTCATAGCTGAGCTCAGGAGCATCATATGACTCGAGCACTCATCGCTTACCTGGGCGGAGGATCCATAATGCCGTCAACTTCTTCAGAGTTCCCAGTCATCCTATAGGAGCGAAGGTGGAAATATCAGCGTATCAGGACCACTGCACTTACTTTAATGTGGGAAAGTAACTGAAAAAAATGATAATCGACCAACAATACGGAGATTTCGGACTTACGGTTTTGGCCATCTGCTGGTTTGACGTGGTCCACCCCTGAGCAAAGGAAGAATAATACATCGTTATACTGTCTTGGGTCGTTCACCATTTATAAGCATCTATCTGCCGGATTACTCCTTCTTCCTCTGCTATTACGTGAATCATGAAATATGGCATGAAGAAAACGATATCGACTTTGCCGTCGACTCTGACATGTGTAGCAGTCGACAGTTTGTCATGCCACTCGAATTCCGGCCCCTCCTCGATTGACCCGTCGGATAGGTCCAATCGAGTCACAGCGCCATTCTTGACGATAAAACCAAATTGTTCACGTCCAGGTTGATAGTAGTGTAGGACCTTGTCTTGGCTTATTTCGCGCATTCTCGATCGCTTCAACTTTTCTTTTTCATGCATCATATTTTGTATTTTCGGATTCCAGCCCAACAGCCTCCTTCTGTCATCAACGATGATATAATTTTCTGCATTTCCTGCTTCCAATTCAGCGATAGGACACGTATCGGGTATAACAATATCTCTAACGTACGTGAACGGGTCGTCAGGGGCGGCCCTGGGCTTTCGAGTTTCTGCGGGTGTCCTCTCTATGATCACCAAATTAGAGAGAACCTCGTCATTGGGATTATCGAGAGGTGCCCAGTTTAAGGTGAACATATAGTATAGAAAATGATTCTTATACCCCAAACTACAGATATCAGTTAAAGCTTCACGTAGTGTTGGACGACAATAGAGTGTCGGGTCCATCGACATGATATTGCCTCCACGAACCACCAATACCAATAGATAAGAAATGATCGGCTGAGTGAACCAGTGCATACAAGTAGACAAGAGCTGCGAAATCTGGTACTGTTAAGAAAATCTCCCGGTTCCTATCGTAATTCAACAATAACTATCATAACAACAACAACAACATCATTGAATCCGCTTGGCTGACCCTTGCTACTAGAAGGCGGTGATTCCTTCTTCGACGCATCGAGGCCTATGACAGCGCTGCGCGTGGAAAAGCTGACTTGCGTCGTAACTGAAACGATACGAGTTATGACAAAGTAAAGCAGAACCAGACCTACGCAGGGCAGCATTCCTTGACTTTCCCACCGATTCTGGATAATGGGCTGAGCCTGAAGTATTCAAATGCCACGATATCGCTGTATGCGGATTAGGAAAGTACAGCTGAGCTTCAAGTATAACATACCCTCTGTTGCGAGAATTTGCGGTGATGATGAAAAATTGTCATATGAAAATTATGAGGAAATTTTGGGGAATTATTGTTGGTTTCTGTACACTTCTGCCCAAATTTATATGTAAATTTGTAAAATTAGTGAGGAAACTCCGGAGCTCAGCTGAGGAAAGCGAACATATATTCTTCCAGCACTGCGCTGGATACACGCAAGATATGATGCATGGTTGTTAAGCGTTCGCTGCTCACCCAGTCATTAAGTTCTCCAAGTACCTGGAAAACATCGATACACTAGTATGCTAGGAAGAGCTACTGACTTACAGTCGTATGGGAGGATCTTGGCTCAGCCCGTTCCTGATTTGAGATGCATTACATGAGTTACCGCAGAGACACTTACATGCGCAAAACAGTAGTTTCTTTCGTATTAGCATTGATAACGAGCATATAGTAGTGAAAGAAAACAGCATAGTGATCTTTATCAATGGGGATCTTGTACACACTATTCGTTTCCCTTGGTAATTCGCGATAGGGGCCAAAGCGAGTACCATTGAGATAAATTTGATATTTGTCTCCCTCCGAGAGAAGAACATCCATGCGAGGTATGTGGGAAAAGTAGTGGTAAACCGTACCCATGAGCAACTCGCGAATTTCCTTCCCGTTCAGCAATTGAATCCTTTCGAATCGTCCTCCGTAAAGATCGCGGTCCTTCACTCGGGAATCGCTCTCGATTTGAGCATACTCGAAGTTGTGCTGACAAATCGCTGGCGGCCCCCTTTCTCTACGAGCTTGATCATCAGCATAATACTCAGGTTTTAATTGTCGAACTTCTGTGAAGTCGTCCAATCTTTCCATCGTATTTGGTATAAGATTCAACTTGCACCCACGTGTCATAGACTCCGGTACTAAACCAGGAGTTTCACTAGGCGTTGCACTGTATTCGAAAGCATATATCGGGACAGTATAACTTTCGACAATGCAAGTGTGGGAAACCTTATTGTATTGACAGAAAATCTCCAATTCAGAAACAGTGCTTGCCCGGGATGGTTTCGCGACTGTCGGGGTTGGCTCCTTTTTACCTCCGAGACGTAGGACTCGGGTTAGCGCTGCTATAGACATGGAGAAGTGAGGGGAGAATACACTCGACAAACACGTGAGCCGTGGTTCGATGCGAACAGAAAAGGCACAAGTCCTGGTCGAAATCGACTATGATACCGATGCTATTGGCGGCGATGTCTGGGATAGTTATCCGTGAAGTAAGTTCTGGAGCGCGACAAGGAAATCGACACTCACACTGATTCGAGCGCATGTCAATCCCGTTCGCCTAATAATCACTGGAAACTCGAAGGCGCGGATCTCGTTCCCTCGGCATCATGGCAACGAATAAGCAAATAAAGATGATGATGATCTAGTGAGGGAATGGTATCAGACTTGGACGCAGCCACTCTGACAAGCACTCTGCCTTTCGAGCGTTCCTAAGAGGTCTCGTTGAAGGCTGATCGCCCCTATGATGTTTTGCATCGCGGGTGTGCGCCACGCGTTGCCGCCGAGAATCAAAGGGCCTTGAGAGAAAAAAACCGTTGGTAGAGATAAATGATTGAAGGCTTCTCCAAAACTGCAGATGCATTCCCTCACTCCTTTGTGAGCATAACGTCTCATAAGTAAGGACTCAGTTAAGGTCCGCGGCAAAAGTGATATTGATCCCGTAGTGAAACTGGTGGGATCATCGTGGATGTGTCTCGTCTGAACTCTGCTGAGCTTTTCATATATATGATGAGAGTGGAGATCCTATACCACAACTGGCCGAATACGGCGTTCATTCCAAGAGGAGGCTGTCAGGCATTTAACAATTCATGTTCTCATCGTCATCACACGGAATATATGCTAATGTCCTGCCTGGCGTGTGGAGCGTTGTTAGGATGATGTTAACTCGTACATATAGATGATGTTTATATTAGAAAACGTTGTTGATTTGACAAGTAACGCAAACACCGCGCAGTGAAAACAACCGAGTGCCATTAGAGCTCAGAATTATGTGTTTCTGTTTCTTCCTGCACAATCGCCGCGCAAGCGCCCTGAACAACACAAGTCCTTAGAATTAGTGCGAATTTATGAACTTGAACTTACTCTTCGACCTTCTCCGAGATCATTTCTCATGAAAGCGCATATCTTTGCCACACCCTCGGGAGCTTGTATTCGGTCGTAGGAAAATCTAAAGTCAGTAGTGACTTCCGAGCTGTGTGGGAAAATATGCATATGGTCAATTACACTTGCTGACAACAAGAAAGAGTATCCTGGAGGAATTTCTTGTGTACTCCTTCTTGAGGCATGGAGTAGTGTGGGAAGCAAACATACATTCCAACACTGTTTGCGAGTACAATCAGAAGCTCTCATTCAGGAATACGGAGGAAATTCACTCGAATTGCAAGGAAAGCCGACAAGATTGTTCATGATACTATTTCGATTGAATAGATGTAGTATGATTTTCAAGCTGTTGCTCACCTGAGTTCTGTGGCAACCTTCATATCTTCTATATCACCAGAGTCCAATAGACCTGACATTGATATATACCTCCAACGCGGAGCCTCCGAGCCCTTACTGAGTTTATTGTAATTTTTATCAGCCCACCATAGAGTGTACGCTGTGGCCTCTTCCTCGATTTCATTTTCCCGTGGAGCTCTACTGAGGACGACCTCGCCTGTGAACTGACCACCGAGAAAAGTCGTGTTGTTGACTGAAAGACTTTCGGGGGAGGTCCTTGGGAAGTGCCGATCTTTGATTGGCCAGATACCACACAAGCTGATCAGCTCCCCTTTGCTAGGATGGTGACCTGAATATTATATTTCCGTCACGCGCCACGAAATTAACTCACCTTGAGTGTTCTCATGCTCACTGAAGGCTAGAATACTTTGAGCTCCCTTCTCTATGACGATGGAGTTTTCGATGTGATATTTTTGAATGTCGGCACCATTAGCACGCACGCGCGCGATTAAACTTTTATCGCCAGCAAGGCGCTCACAAGTCGCTGTGCTCTTTCCCCAATAGAGATTATAGAAATCCACAGAGGGAGAAGACGAAGAATCTTTAGCGTGCGCAAAAGATATCTCCACATCGCCTCCTAACTGGCCAACCTCTGGGGAAATATCTTGGAGGTCGACCGCCTAAGATACAAACCAGGTTCACTTGTATGCCAAATTTCTCCCTCACTGTTGGTGCGTGCATAGGTATTGCCAAATCTAATAGAGGGATGGTATCGAACTCTCCTCGTTCTTCTGCTTCACCAAAAGCCAAATTTGCCGCTATTGCAATTATTTTGCTGGCATTTTCAGGAATGGGCGTCGACTCTGGTAACTTCCCGAATAGTTGCGTCCCGAGGTTTTTGGGGTTTTTTATTTTCAGTATGGGCTCGCCGGAGAGCTTCTGATTGTCCATGTTGAGAAAATATATTAAGAAAAATTCGGCATCACCGAAAGTGGCAGTGGAGTTGACCTGATTCGGAAAATATCTTAGGTCCAAGCGAGTAAGATACAAAACAGGTTGGGTACCTCCACGATTCCGCTGACATACCCTTGTGTAGGATCTACGTCCGTGAAGTTGATACCGGAGACCTCTTCTTGTGGCTTGCCAAAACATCTCCCATCTGGTCCAGTAAGCATTTTACCTGCCGATGAAATGTCTCTACCAGGAATCGAACTTCGGATATTTAGGTTAATAAACACGTGCCCTAACCGCGCCACTAATTCGATACGATAAAATAATACTTATCTTCTCACCTTCACAGTCGTCAGCGCAGCTCTTAACACATTTATCTTCCCTGAGGCAATAAGCCTTCTTCACACTACGGCATGTGACGACACTATTTTTAGGAGTCGGCAAAGCTTTAAGACTCTCCTCATGAATTTCAGCAAAGTCCATCCAGTAGTGCATGTTATTCACTTTCTTTTCCTTCGACACTAACAGTCGTGGCCATTTACCTGACCACATCCGAATCTTTTAAAGTCAACCTCAAGATTCACATACTTCTCCGATTCGCTTTAACAAGAGTAGCTGAGAGCTTCCCCACCGAAGCCATCGCCCATTTGCTCGCCGTCGGATCAACCTCGTCGAAAAAACTCAGTTTCAGTATATACTCGTGTTTTTTGCCTGAGAATCTTGAGGTCCCAAGCGTAAGATACGAAACAGGTCCACTTCTAGACCTTACCAGAATGTTCTCCTATAGCCTTCACTTCGATTTTACTCCTTGTTATATTAACTTGCGGATCTTTAATATCGAGTGCTCCCGGCGCGTTCCATCTCCTCGTAAATTTAACATTGACAAATACCGCGGTATCATTCTGAGCCCACTGGAACGCCGGAGCGACCCTCTGTGGCTTAAAGTAATTCTGGTCGAGACTCCTGACCAGCTCCTCCCCTCGCGCTTTGATCTCCCGTACGGCCTTCCGCACAGGTGGCCCAAAATAATCAACTCGCTTCCCGCCGCTTCCTCTAGATTGCTGTTGTTGTTCGTGATCCAATTTAATAGCGGCTAAGGCAGCATCCCACCTGAACAATCGAGCTGAGTTATGCGAATAGTGTTTTGAAAAATAGTACATCCTACAATGGGGAACAGTTCTCGAACGCTAGTTACTACAAGCAGTATTAGACAACTGTACCGTATAATGTTTGATACGATTCGATTGGACAGTACTAGCTCAATTCGAGTCCATTAAGCTTGAGCTTCTAATAGACCCCCATATATCATAAATCTCGACTTGTCAAACGAGCACAGCGAATGGTGATAGCGGTGTCACCATTGCTGTTTGATCCACTTCTCCATTTCCTCTGGTGTCACCACCTCTCGAACCGACTGGCCGGAGTGAGCTGTCTGTGAGATCAACTTAAGAGCTTTGCTTTCATCATTGACCACAGCTGCACATGCCAGGCTGTAGAAAAACAATTGCAGTCGCAATAGTAACATGAAAATGAACGAAATCTTTCCCTTCAGTTTATAACGACTCAGAAGCCAACACAAAATCAGCGTAGAAACGTCAGTAGAATCGTACACAAAATTATTAAACGCGTTGTGACCATCGCGCTGAATTTTGTCCGGCAAAAACGCTCGCCCAAGACCCTTCAGAAGGACGAACCGAACTTTTCTGTGATTCCGGACTCGGTGAACACAAACCTGAAATAAACGCAATCAAATAAGAACACCGTAGAAAAGTATTACTTTTTTGTATTTCGGGATCGATTCGCCCATAGGAAAGCCCAGGCCAATCTCCCTCACCGAGAGCGACCCATTCCTTCGCTGTTGGTCGTCTTACAATAATGCCATCATCGAGCTTCGCTCCGCTAAGTTTCTCAGCATCTTTCGCCTGGGTGAATTCAACAACAGCAGAACCACCAAATTCGCCCGTCTCAAAATCGCCAACGACCATTCGTATGGATTTGGTCGGGCCCGCAGTGGTGTGAAACTTCGAGCGAAGCGATGCTTCCGTAGTCGATTTGGGGAGATTGATGACAACCCGAACTCGCGCTATATCATGATCGTGGAGATCACCAACCGCACTGGGAATTCCGACGAAAATGGGCCGATCTGAGCAATTGTTGCGAATCGACATAATCGTGCATAGATTATTCCAGTTAATACGAGGTATAATCGCCCTGTTCCGAAACGATTTATATAGCAATTGCATAATGAGGATATCATAACCACTGTTAAGAAGATTAAGAGTCTTCAATTTCAAAAAACTTTTTCGAGAACAACTGATCGAATTTGAAATTTGCGTTTGCTTTTCGCAGCTGAGCTTGGTATTCTCACCACTATATCCTTTAGCTTTTGATCGAAAAAACATCAACCACGAAGCAGTCGGTATGGAACTCACTCAATAGAATCTCTTCCTCGTCATTCTCATCTTCCCCCTCCCCAGCAGTTGGAGTATAGTTAGTAATCCTCCTCTTCTTCTTCCTCACCGTACTCGGTGTCGATGGTGTGATGATAGAATCCGCTATTTTACTCAATACAAATACCTCCTTAAAGAGAGGGTCGAATATATGCGGTAATGCTGCTGCTGATGATGTGGGCGATGACGAGGGCACCTAATAGTGCTTACATAATGCACAATATGTATAATGATGATATTTAATCAATGGTATTATCCGTATATAGTTATGGAATATATCTATACAATTAATTCTAATTTTCCCTATACCTTCAATAAGATAAAAATATACTATGTGATTATATGAATATCACTATAGTGCCGACATATAGTGGGTATAATGGGGGATATTCGTTACAATGGAGGGGCCGCTATGCTCGAGAGGGGCCGCTATGCCCGAGAGGGGCCGCTATGCCCGAGGTCTATACCATGAAGATACAGAGACTCATACACAGTGACGTGTTTATATAGGGAAGGAGAAATATCCGAATATATCTGTATTTTCTTATACCGTCGATGTGATGTACGGTAAGTAAATTTCTTATGTCATGGCAATGGGGCCGCTATGCCTGAAAAGGGCCGCTATGCTCGAGGTCTATACCATTAAGATACAGAGATTCATACACAGTGATGTGCAGATGTGGAGGAGAATATTCGATATTATCCGTATTTTCTAATACCGTAGATGTGAGGAGATTTACAGTTCCAATTTTAGTGATATATTGCATAGGGCGCCTGCGGGTGATTACAATGGGGTCACTATGCCCAAGGTCTATACCATAGAGAAATCTACTTGACGAATGGGGTCACTATGCCCGAGATGTATGCCTTTGAGGAATCTACTTGACGAATGGGGTCACTATGCCAAAGGTCTATAACATTGAGAAATCTATTTGGCGAATGGGGTCACTATGCCCAAGGTCTATACCATTAAGGAATCGACTTGACTAATGGGGTCACCATGCCCAAGATCTATACCTTTGAGAAATCTACTTGACGAATGGGGTCATTATGCCCAAGGTCTAAAACACTGAGGGATCTATTTGGTGAATGGGGCCGCTATGCCTGAGGTCTATATCATAATGCTTATATTCATAAACGGACAACGTTACATGATTATCATCTACACACGAGAAGGTTCGTTCACCTAGCGATTCAAGCCAAAGTCCATATTACCTTTCCCTCCTCTACTCCGCTATTTTCATCAGCATCGGGTGTGAGATCAGCATAAAGATCCTCTCCTGCGTCGTCTCCATCTGTTGAGAACATTATTATCCTTTCTGGTCCACACTGTATTGATATTAAACCAACACAAGAATAGTGTTTATGAGGGGTAATATATTACTATTGTCAATAACTAGACATTAGTTATACAGAGAATATAAATGGGGACGATCAGCAACACTCCGATTCAATGGACAATGCCAAGAGTGGGTCGCAAGGCGATTAGTATGATATCAAGTATTGGAAAATAGATCAGCAGTCATTAGCAACATGTACTTAGAGAAAATTGTGGGTCGCAAATCCGAGAAATTGATAATAATGTTGTAGCATGAAAAATGCCCACTACCATCAATTCGATAAGGAACGGATGAGCTTAGGTCGTTTAGCCCACATATGGAGTACACTAGATGCTTGACATTGTTCTACCATGCGCATCGCGTCCATTCGCACGTCATTCACACGTACAATAATGTCGCCTTTCTGAAGTTTCTGTCCCGGAGGAGCTTTTCTATTCCAAAGATCAATAGATCCCTCCGGCGTAACTCGATCCACCACCAACCATCGAGGATCGCTATGGTCCACATCTATACCGAGACGAACACCAGGTATCCTCTGACAAAAAGCGGACCTATTTTATATCTTACTCAGGTGAACATAAGATACTACCTGGATGTCAATCTTGAAACAGTCCGCTTCTATGTCCTCGTCGGCAGCCCCTTCTCGCTCATCCGCTACATCGTCATCATGGTCTTCCTCTAACACACCTTCGAACGCTGTGATCTGATAATGTAAAACAAATTGTCGCTTATGCAACAGGAAATTACTGCCGGTTTTTCTAGTATAGGAGTAATCAATAGCAAAGCAATTTGTACAACAATGATAACAAGTTGTACACTTCTAACCTAAACCGTGTGTGAATTTTCATGGTAATGCAGAAACTCCTGAAGTCAGCTCAGAAAACCAAACATATACTTCAACACTGACAAGAAATTGATAATTCCAGTCATTGACAGTTTCGTTTCATAACCCAATCGATCAAAGAGTAAAACTCCATCATCAACTCAACTTCAATTCACTTCGAATGCCGTTTATTTTGATAATAATTTTCGAGCCGAGACATCTTGTGAGATTCGTTCGGGTTTCCTCTTCAGCACAGAAGCAGTGTGGGAATGTATGTTCACTTTCCTCAGCCAAGATCAGGAGTTTCTAGAGCTCATTACAGAAGTCGGCAAATTAAAGTAGAATTAGTGTACAAATAACCAGCAAGAATTTCATAAAATTTCCTCAGATTTGTCCTCTCGCCACAAACACATGCATAATGCGACCTCTGAAACACCCGAGCTCCTCAGATAATTTTTACGGAGAAATGAAGTAAGCAAGAGGCAGTGGACGTAGACGTCTGTTTCGAAAGGGCCTACCTCTACAGTTTGCGTTACTTCCCTGTCTTCTACTCCACCTACTGATCGACCTGAGATCAGCACTACCGGTTGGAGGTCTTTGCTTATGTATTACCTTCCTCCTGCTTTCCAATGATAGAGGGAGTACTTGGCGTAGCGACGATCGTAGGAGTTGCCTTTGGTGTGGTATGAATATCATTACCATTGTCTGCCACTACTGTAACTTCATTAAGCCACTCGGAAGAGTCGGGTCGTCGGCAGCACTGGTCGAACATGTTGCTACTGAAAGTCTCTAGCCTGGAGACCCTCGGGTCGGACTCGATAGACGCGAGTGTGTTTCCCATTTGTAAAAGTTGTTAACAATATGAGCTGTTGATCGATAATCGGTCGATGTACCCTATCCGGACCTATTTTGAATCTTGCATGCTCAACCTCAAGATACTATCCCTCCTCCTCCTCCGCCCAAACCACCTTACTTTCTCTCCATCCGACCACCAACGAGATGCACGAAAAACTCCACAATAGAATTGACCTAAATGCACAACATTATTTTCCCAGTGAAGTACTTTAATGAGTGCGAGTTGAATAATCAACAATAGAATACACCATTAAAAAGGGCGAGTTTTCAATCCCTCTGTGGTCGTTTGCTGGCACCACCTCCGAGACAAAATCGTTTCAGCAACGTTTTTACTCGGGTATAAACGTCGAGGAGAGTTCATCAGTCTCAAGTCGACTTCGGCACGAGGGGTGCTTGTGAGGAAGAATAGTAGGATTGCATGAATCTTCTATCTCGTTTGCTAGACAAGCTGCGCAGATTCCCATACTATTACTCCGTTCGATAGAATCTTTGGTGAGTTTTCTTATCGATTAGATGGGCGCGCGCGAAGTGAAGACTAAGTTGCTGAGCATGGCTCTTAAGCTCGTCGCTGCTATTAGACTGTTATTGTCGTTGTAGTGCATTAAAATGTCGTCTTCCACGATTCAACCATATCTCATCTTGGCCTGTTCATCGGCTGACGAGCCCAAGGAGCTCATCCACACTGTTTTGCAGTCTAGAGTGTGTGAGAAGAACAAGTATTGTGATGCTGTTTACAAGTGAGAAGAAGTTTATGCAACTTTTACCACTGCAATTATTCCACAGGTTTGACGTGCCCGAGAACCTCAAATTCGGCTCCTTTGATTCTCTCATCAGACTAGTAGATGACCTTTCCAAACAAGACTCTCAAGTAAGGCAACTATCATCATCATCAACTCCCTAATTTCCCCTCAGGTAGAAGCCGTCCTTCGCCGTATCGAGAGGCAGCTGCTCGAGCTCGACCCCAACACTGAGTTCAAGGTCGTCTCTCAGAGAGCGTCACTATCTGCAGAGGAGTACATCACCAAATTCCACTGGGATGACGCCAAGTTCCCCCGCACCAGGAACATTCAGGACAACCTCAGTCTGTTGTTGACGAGTATTCAAAAGCTCGATGAGGAGGTGAAGTCGAAGAGCCAAGCTTATTCGGACCTCAAGACACAGTACTCTCAAATGAGCAAGAAAGTAAGTTTATATACATCTCTGTCTCTTTTCTTCTTTATTTTTTTATTTTTTATTTTTTATTTTGTATTTTTTTTGTATTTTTTGTATTTTTTCGCTTTTCTATTTCCTCTTTATCTTGTATTAATTTTATTTTTCCTCAAGTTTTTTTATTTTTTCTCATTTTCCTCTCTTTATTCTTTCTCAGTTTTCAATAAAAACTTTTTATTTTTTTCTGTTTTTTGTTTTTTTCGCGCTTTTTATTCTCCTATTTTCTCTTTATCTTATATTCATTTTATATTTTTCTCAGATGTTTTTATTTTTTTGTCATTTTCTCTCTACTCTTTCTCAGTTTTAATTTCTTCTCTTTTCTTATTTTTATTCTCCTATTTCCTCTTCATCTTATATTCATTTTATTTTTTCCTTAGGTTTTTCATTTTCTCTCAGTTTTTATTTTTTTGTTCTTTTCTTTTTTCGATTTTTTATTCTCCCCCTGGTCTCATTTTCTTCTGAAATTTCACATATATATTTTCCTCAGGAATCCGGCTCGTATGCTCAGCGCGACTTGACAGATGTCATTACCCCCAACAGTGTGCGCGAAGGCGATTTCGTTGAGACCGAGCATCTCACTACTGTCGTCGTGGTTGTTCCCCGCGGACAGGACCAGGACTTTTTGAGTAAATACGAATCGGCTGCTACTAAAGTGGTGCCTCAATCGGCCTCGCCTCTGAACTTGCCTACTGATAAAGATGGTGCCAAGCTGTACAGAGTGGTGGTTTTCAAAAACAGTGTCGAGGAGTTCGCCAACAACATGCGACACGCTCGCTTCAACTGCCGTGATTTCACCTACGATGCTACCAAGTACGACGAGCTGCAGAACGCCAAGGCCCATATGGAAAGCGAAGTGAAGAAGCAAGAGGCTTTTCTCAAGAGGTAAGATAATAGATTAACTCTGAGTTTTAAGCGAAATCGTGTTAGGGTATGTGCTGCTGCGTTTTCCGACACTATCGTTGGGTGGATGCATCTGAAAGCGATGCGAACTTTTGTGGAAGCTGTTCTCCGCTTTGGAGTGCCACCGAATTTCGCGGCATTCATCGCAGTGGTCGGGAAGAAATCTCAGGCGAAGCCTATGAAGCTCCGCAGTGAGCTCATGGACGTCTTTTCGAGTAGTGGCTTGTTTGGCAAGAACTACCTCTCTGGTGCAAAGGCTGAGAAACAGCAGGGAAGCGCTGCTACTGATGTAAGTGAAATTAAACTCGTTTTACGTGAAGCGAAACTGTATTGTTGCTGATTTGTGGTTTGTCTCAGGAGGAAGGCAGCGGTGAATATTATCCCTATGTGTCGCTGAGTTTCGCTCCGCTTCTTTCTACCAAGAATACCAGCGCTTAGAGCACTGGAATGTTATTCAACTCGATAGCGCCATATTGGTTTCCTATTGCACTCTGTTGTCTACCGTAACGAAGTGGTTTTGATTCTATTGGGGTTGTTGTTGGCGACAGAAACGGCCTTTGTCAAGTTTCGGAGTCTGCTGTCATTACTGCTGATATATTTGCTGTTTCGTGTGGACTAGCGTTTTTTGGTCGAGTTGAGCTACCGCGTCAATTTTCGGATTTCTGTACAGAAAAATGACGTACTCCCGAAATTGAGAGTTGAAATTAGTGTTGGAAATACGCGCATGTCTAACTAAGTGACAATGTGGAAATTATTTTTGATTTTCGTAAAATTTCTGAGCTCAGCTGAGGAAAGCGAACATATATTCCCCCAACACTGAGAGCTTAACAATATGAAAATTTTTGTTCATTTTTTCACTACACTTTTACGTGCGGATAGTTAGAGAGGAAACTGAGCACTGATAATGTCCGATACTGTTATGGAGCCACCCAGAAGGAGGTCTTCATCAACAGTAGAAACCACGAGCTCAATTTGGCAAGACGCCGAGATCCGATTCGATCTGTCCAGTGGCGCGTTAAAACTAAGAAGGTGAAATTATGAGATTCAAAACAGTTGTGAATATTACCTCAGGGGTGAGCACGAGATCGATACGATTAACGCTGTTGAAGACACTAAAGTGAGTATAATCATATTATTGGAGTTTCACCCGTTCTACTCGGTGAAAAACGCGATATTCGTGGTGATATGCAGTAGTCGTGAAATATATGTTTCATTAGTATTTTTTTAATATCGCTAGGGTGGTGAAACTCCATTGAATGCAAATATGTAAATCTCATGTTTACTCTTAAACTAATATAAATGCAGTTTCACCCGTTTAACGTGAAGTGGCGTCGTAAAACTCGGCGAAAAACGCGATATTCGCGGTGATATGTCATAGTGTTTTTTAGTATCAATAGGGTGGTGAAACTCCAAGTAATACGAATATGTGAATCTCATGTTTACTATTAGACTAGTATGAATGCAGTTTCACCCGTTTAACGTGAAGTGGCGTGATACGACTTGTAAATATATTTCCGCGACCACCGATAACACAATTGTTTTCCGCGAAGAGAATTGTGAAATAAGTTTTCAACTGCAATAGTTTTAGCAAGCCATGGCTTGATTTCCACGGAGTAAAATATACCGTTTCTCAGCGACTTGAAATTTTCAGGGAAATAACGGCGATCGCGGCGTGATGATTGTGACCAACTTGAGAGTAATGTGGGTGACCGCAAAAAATAAATCTCGGTGATATCATCTCGGTGAAGACATCTTCTAACACGAGCTCTTTTGTTAGAGCAAACCTCTCTATCGGTTGGAAGTGTGTGCAAGACATTAACGTCAAGATGGTCAACAGCAAGTTGCGGGGTGATACCCAAGCGGTGTTCATAATGACGAAGTAAGTTCTTCAGAGGGTTGAGGCGAATCGCTGTCGTTTTTGAGAGTATCAGGATTAACGATATGTATTGGAGTTTCACCACTCTAGTGGGAAACATATTTCACGACTACTGCATAGTGTGAATATCGCGTTTTTCACCGAGTTTTACGACGCCACTTCACGTAAAACGGGTGAAACTACATTCATCGAACTTTGTCATGCAATGCACGCATGCACACCGGAAATGCAATATGTAGTTCTGCAACGATGCGAATCGATAAACTATGTTAAAACATAGTGAATCGAATTAAGGTGTAACCATAGTATGTTTTCTAAGTCTTAATGATAGACCAGGGCATCCTATACCTCTATTTAGTGAGGTCTCGACGTAGTTAAATCACCGAATCTCGGAACTCCTATTAGTCCGAATAGAATTGCACTTAACCAGTGTGGGAAAATATGCACGTGATTAACTATGTGTGTTGGTGATATTTATTATATATAGATTCATTTAATTTCATATCATAGTTGTGTTTCACTGATTCTATTCCGTCGACTATATCTTCTTCTTCTGGAGCGGCACCCTTCGAACCAGGCGTAGTTGCCATTATTATGGTATAGCCTGGGATTCACCACCCGTGAATGTCACTACCTAGTGCGATTTGCCGCGATCTTCCGCTGTATCGACGGTGAAGAAGTGGGCCCCCAGACCCCCCCTCCCCTTGATGAATGCGTCGGCTATTTATTTGTTATATTTTTCTCGAACTCCTAATTTTCATTTATATTTTTATATATTTCACTATAATTATTGTTATCGAAATATGAAAATTCTGGGAAATTCTTGCTGGTTTCTATTCACTTCTACTCTTAATCGTGTGTTATGAAAATATATTCCAACACTGGGCAGACTATTTCTCCCAAGTCAGGTACGCCGGGCAGAGGTTTGAGTTTATCTTCACTTCGTTGGTTTATTATTCACCTCGTATTTTCACCACGATTCAATCTGTGTATAAAGCGTACGACACGTCACGCCTCTATCGAGAGCTCACTCTAAGGTGATGACTCGCAAACGAGTGACCGATGTTGGAGTAGAAATATGTGTTCGCTTTCCTCAGCTGAGCTTAGAGGAGTTTCCTCACTAATCAAAGAAATTCGTATCAAGGAACATAAAGAAATCAACAACAATGATATCTGAAAATTTCCTCACAATTTTCATATTTTCTCGTCACACTGAGTTCAACTCAAGAGCCTCCATCGTGCGCGAGCAAGAACTCGTTCTGCTGCCGGGCGAAAAAATGTACGACACAATTGCCGGAGTGTGGAACCTCTCAACTGATCAAGGCAACCTCGGCACCATGGTCATCACTAATGTAAGTCTATGGTGTGTGATCATCGAATTCGGATGAAGGTGCGCGCGGTGTGGTACGCCGCTTTGGCCGAGTCATTCAACGTATCGATGCCCTATATACAGATCGTAATGCTCATTCATGAGATTACCATGATTGTGGATTTTCAGCGCTCGGTGTCGTTGAAAAACTCTAAATTCGGCAAGGCATTGGTTGTGAATACCTTTCGAGGAGGTAAGCGAACTATATGTATTCATGTTTGCCTATATCATACACATCTACAGGGTGTCACCGACGCCTCTGCACCATTACATTCGATGAATAAGATGTAGATCCCGAAGAGGGCTTTCTAAGGGTATATGATAGCTTCTCCTCAACTCGGCACCCTGTGTAGTCGTATAGTGCCTTTATGCCGATTCTCGAGGGTGTGCGTGGGCGAAGGAACGATATTTGGCAAATTTATGGTATACTCGTGTACCCCATCCATCTCGAAGAAGTTTTTTTCGTTGAATGATTACAAAATTATGCAATTTTGCATTTATTACTTTTTACTATTTTTCAATTATTACAGCATGCAACAACTGCTGTATTTATTTTAATCCTCGAGTGAATCTGTTGCGAATCCGAATCAGTGTGGAAAAATACGCACATGGCGAACTACATGTGTGGCCGACGATATGAAAATTTTAAGGAAACTCTCATTGGTTTTCACTGTACATTCCTACGCTAATCCTTATATAAACTCCTGAGCTCAGTTGAGGAAAGCGAATACATATATTCCTACTCCAACACTGTATAGGAAACTCCTGAGCTCAGCAGCTGAGGAAAGCGAATACATATATTCCTACTCCAACACTGTATAGGAAACTCCTGAGCTCAGCAGCTGAGGAGAGCGATTACATATATTCCTACTCCAACACTGTATAGGAAACTCCTGAGCTCAGCAGCTGAGGGAAGCGATTACATATATTCCTACTCCAACACTGTATAGGAAACTCCTGAGCTCAGCAGCTGAGGAAAGCGATTACATATATTCCTACTCCAACACTGTATAGGAAACTCCTGAGCTCAGCAGCTGAGGAAAGCGATTATATATATTCCTACTCCAATACTGTATAGGAAACTCCTGAGCTCAGCAGCTGAGGAAAGCGATTATATATATTCCTACTCCAACACTGTATAGGAAACTCCTGAGCTCAGCAGCTGAGGAAAGCGATTACATATATTCCTACTCCAACACTGAACCGACTATTCCAGCGCGACATGAGACGAAATCCACATCCGACTTGATGGAAAGGGGTGAAACGCTTGTTGTTGTATAAATTGCGGTAACACAATTTTATGCAACTTTACCATGTTCAATTGATTTCAGCTGGAGCGTATGTCTTGGGTTTCCGTCTGGACCCCATAGAAGAACTCAAAAGAATGCATCAACAACTTGAAAAGATTCATCAGCTTTTTGCAGAGGTTGGTGGGAATCTGCTTCGCTCCGCTAGACATTTGATATGCAGTCGCCGATTTTCGGAGTCGAAGTGTCGATTGAAAAGCCAATTGGAGGACAGAATGTTAATCATGGAGGTGAGGATGGTCACTCTGTGGACCTCTTGTGTATCTTTATCCGGTGAACCTCATGTGAATCTTTGTACTGTGGACCTAATGTGAATCTTTTCACTGTGGACCTCATGTGAATCTTTCCATTGCCTCGGGTGAACATTTCACATTCTCAGGTGCTGGCCAGGTGAGAGCATTTCTTGGGAATCTGTCACGCGCCACAAAACAACTAATTTCAGCTGCTAGCGACCCCAGCGCCGCTACAACGGTTCGAAGAAGACGTGGAAATCGACGAGGAGATTGGTTTTGAGAAGCTCCTTGATCGCGTTGGGTCGGCGCCCGAGCAAGAGGGCGATCCTAGTATGCTGTATCATCCTGATGGCGAGCTCGACGGGTATAGGTAGGGAGAAATCTTCGCTGTGCGCACGTGGGTGATTGGAAGCTGCCAGGGAGCCTGTGTATAGTCCCGAGTTGGGCCTGGCGGTGGCGCGGTTACGCGATGGTGACACGATTGATGCTTTGTGGAATCTTGTGTGATTGGTGGTGGTTTTGGTTGTATAGTTGAGGACTGTGGGATTTCTCTGTAGCTGTTGTTCATGTGAACCACCTCGGAGCTCGATTCTGAGACCAGGTGGAGTTAATGCGAATGTTCCTGTTATAAGGCTTCTTATGAGCTCTGTCATAAGGAGGTTGGACATTCAGGGTAAGGAAGCAGCACCATGTCGAAGACAGTACCAGTGGAGTGTTTGCTAGCCGCCTTATTCCAGTTTGTGGACAATTTCGGATGACCCTGTTGTCTGAGGGTTGTGGGGTGACTGTCGACGCACATGCACGTGATGATGTGCTCGACGATTTCATTTATATGGGGTGTCGGGTTGGGCAGTAAATGGCATTAAACGTTATGACCAGAGTGACGTTATGGTGGAGTGACGTAGAGGAATAGTAATAGATCATTCCAACGTACATCGGAAGACCTGAGATCCCGTTCGGGGCATCAGATGGTGTGTCCGAATGGTCAAGGAGGAGGTGGGCTCGGAAACCTCTGGACTTTACTCGCGCAAGTATGATTGCTGTCGGCGTCGATGTCCTTCCCCGCGAAAATATTCCCCAAACACTTACTCGCTTCATTTAGTGGAAGTCACTTGTACGCTTGCCGATCACAAAAAATTGGTCGTAGATAGCTGACACGACTGAGAATTCGAAGAAAGTGTATCGAAGGAGCTCGAATCTTATATATCACAGTAGACAGCGTGTCCGAGTGGTTAAGGAGGTGGACTAGAAATCCACTGGGCTCTGCCCGCGCAGGTTCGAATCCTGCCGCTGTCGATATCTTCTTATCCCACAAAGTCATCTGCCACTCCAACCCCCTTCGGTCAACATTCTCTCGTGTAGTAGTTCCTCCTCTATTGCACGCAGATCATCTGGAACTAACCCAACCCGTCTCGTCCCACCTCTACCACTTAACCGCCCTAATGCTACACTACCCATTCGAAATCCATCCAACTCATATTCCACCGTTCTCACGAGGCTAATGTGAGACGACAGTAATGATGCTAAGGCGAACATCTCCAACACTAAACACAACCTCAGAAGGGGTCCTAATAGACCAAAATGGATTTCGCTACAAATGTCCTCGCCCATCACAGCGCGTTTTTGTGCCGCCAAGACCGCAGAAAAATCCACATCAAAGATGACCGATTGAAATTTCGCCAGCAAGAGGACGGTCCTGTTCTCCTCCTGCGCTGGAGGGAGTTACCCACTAGACTAATCTGCAATCACAGTCGACGTCCAAAAACCGGCTTAAACACCAATCATGATTAATTAGTGACGTATGGGCAGCCGAGTTATCTCGGACTAGGCGTGAAAGAACCCAGCGATGCATAACCGTTTCAGCTAACAAATAACGTGTTCGACTGGTTGAGGAAATTAATCCTACATCGCGCAGGCATAATCATGCCATCGTCAACATCATCGTCATTATCTTAAATTATCGCGGTGATTAGCTAGTTTTTCGATCAGCGCGTTCCAGCAGATTATTCATGCATGTCAGTAGTCAGAAGGATGCCACAACCTTGTCTCCTTCTAACGAGCGTCTCGCTATCATCACTGAGAACTACATAAATCAACACCACTTGAATGAAGCTCTTATGAAATAGTAAACAATAGGGCAGTAGCATGAGAGCAACTTATATACTTTTCAATACTAATTATTTAGGCCTGAGTGTTCTCTCGATCACTCTCCTTCTGCCACTCCTGACCGATTCGACCACTCGAGCAGCACTTGCTCGGCGGATAGCATTTGGACCTGGGCGCTCATCGAACACTTGATGCATGTTGAATGATGAAGACGAACGAATCTGAAAAATACATCGTAAGGGCTGTGTCTCTCTACCAACAGATAGAATTGAAGGACTGACCTCATCTCGCGGTGTTACAATCATGTCCTCATCTATCCTCAATGGCTGAGGTACCACAGCTGCCTCCCGAGTCTCCTTTTTCTTCGACATCTCCGCCATCGATCGTCTCACTTGCCACTGCCTTTCCAACCGTAGACGCTGCACTCGTAGATCCTCAGCATGACGACGCTCGAGCTCCGCGGTAGCACGTTGATGTTCTCGGCCTAGTCTTTCTACTTCAGCTCGATATGATTCCTCTCGAGCTCGCAGTCGAACCTGCTGAAAGGCCCTGCTGAGCAGCGACACACAGCAGTATTCTCACCTGACCGTTGCATCTGGTGATCCTCACTTGCTCCTCCATATGTGCCTTGATCTCCCTTATCGCCTCTTCCCGTATAGCTGCTTTATGTTCGGCATCAACCGGATGAACCATCACTCGATCATCATCAGAGTCAGCAGCAGCAGCAGCAGTCTGCGTCAATCTCGAGATGCTCCTATTCCTCTTCCCCACGCCACTAGTTTGGGACTCCACCGTAGACGTCTCAATACGACTCTGTACGCCAACCTCAGCGACTCGGGGGGACGCTTGCACAACTGAGTTCCATCGCGCCACTCGCATAGTCTGCACTCCAACACTCAGCAATCTAGTGGTAGAATGTTCAACTGCTTTGATCTCTCGAGAAGCCTGGAGATCTACTAGAGCCTCCACGAGTGCCTCCAAATGGCCTTCGCGATCCTCTCGCATCATCTCCCTCCTCTCCCTGTTCCATGCTTCCTTCATCAGCACCACATCAGTCTTAGCAGCAACGTCCCCAGCCACACGCTGAAGGTCCTTCCGACGCTCCTCGATTCGGACTAAATGACCATACAGGTCGTTACTGATCATCCTCTCACGCTCCTCATTTAGGCACACTCGGGCGTATCTGCTCGATGAAGCCAATGAGATCCTGCAATTCCCGCAGGACATCGAGCTCACTCAGCAGACATCCTTTCCACGTACTCAGTGAGAGCCCTCATCTGATCACTACCGAAGTCAATGCTGTCGGCCACCCCGCTGAGCCTGGCCTGACTCTGAGAAAAGTCTAATGAATTCACAATGCACTCACGTGAGCCCACAAAAAGATAAGTGATTGCTCACTGACCAACTTCAGCTCCGAACGAGAGCCTCGCGTAAAATGTCTACGATTTCAACTCGATAAAGAGTGCAAGAAATAGCGTCTTGTCACTCTGTAGGGAACTCTAAATGAGCCAGCAAACTGCATTGCGTTGCAGCTCAAAATGATACCAACGTATTCGTTTTCAACATCAACGATTCTCCTCCACACAGCAAAGGACAGTTCTCCAAGAACGACTCTTCCACTGTTGATTGTTGTTCGAATGATCTCTCTTTCGCTGAGTCCTAGCCTTTGTGAATTGGAAATGATCAGCAATAGACCTTGTAGCTGACCTCTCAGTCTCTGCCGAGGAACTGCATATAGCAACCGCTTGATATCAATGTTAAAACGATGTCTATCCAGGAGGGCTAGGCTGTGAGAGAATGATATAGGATTGTGCGCTGTGTCGTGACGACAAGATATCGATGAGCTGAAGCTAAGCTGAGTAGTGATTCCCTATTCCGAACAATTGTATTCATACTTGTTTTTACTCCTTTACTCTCTCCTACAACGACCGTGAAGGCCTTTGAATTTTATATTCTTATCAAGTCGGTCGCTTCCGAGCAGCTAAACCCGTTCAAATGTGTATCGGAACTCTGCAGAGAAGTTACAGCTGACACGCTGTGCCTCTTTTTTACATCGCATGCACTCCTACTACAAGAAGGAGTCTATAATGTCCGATTCTTCACTGTGGAAGTGAGCGAAGCCTTGACCAGTTTTTATTTCCGACATTTGAACCTCTGAAATTTCTCAGGCCTTTCTGCATACGCCCGAGCTCCTACCTGGAGAATCACAACATCCTGCGGCCGTCCTTCCACCTCCTCTCGAGAGCTGTGCAACTCCACTTCACTGCATTCGACAATCTAAACCATTGAAACACATAAGATCTCTTTGAAGGCCATCACTAGCAGTGTGGGAGAATATAAACATGGTCAACTACATGTGGCGTGAGGGTATTGAAATTCTGGCAGTGATCGACTACGGCTGATCGACGAAAGTGAAATTCTAGTAGTAGAGGAAGTTCCTACTCCTGCACAACGCAAAAGAGGGTAGTTGTGTGATTTGTGATAAGCTATTGAGGCATCTTCCGCATAGCTGGAGTTACTAGCTTGAAGCTAGTGCACCTCTTCCAGCGGTGCTGATGATTTAAGTATGATATTGGTTGTCTGGTGATCATCACCAGAGCTTGGCTAACTTTAATACCCATCCCAGCCCAATCCCTCGCTGTAGAGGTAGGGTTAGAGTTTGTCTTTTTCAAGGTGAGTCCGCTGAGATATTTAGATTGTATTCGTTGTAAAACATTCTCAACCCTAATAGATGACGCTGACTGGAGTGTGGTGAGTCCACAGCGACCACCGCCTTGTGGTTCGACTTGTCTGGCAGCTCGTCGTGAGTTGCACTTGTGTCACAGACTGTGACCTATGGACCACACCAATCCTACTATGGGCAACGCAATCTGCTTTGCCCTAGTTATCTTGGCCAGTCAGCTACATCTATCCATCTCATCCTCTACGTCATTGGGGAATTTCATGATAGGATTTTTTGTGAGTTTATGAACACTTCTACCCATCAGAGAACAGCTGAAGAAAGCAAACATATATTCTTCCAACACCGACTACTACTATAATAACAATAAACGAACTGAACAATGGAGTTTCACCCTAGTGATATGAAATACATATCACCGCGAATATCGCGTTTCTCACCACTTCACGTAAAACGGGTGAAACTCCAATACTCTCACTTGCCGGCTCTCCTCCCTATTCACATCGGTCCCAGCCACACGCTGAAGGTCCTTTCGACGCTCCTCGACTCGGACTGAATGACCATACAGATCGTTACTGATCATCCTCTCGCGCTCCTCATTTAGACACACTCGGGCGTATCTGCTGCGGGAAAATGGAAAAAAACAAAAAAAATTTTTACTCTTCCAAAAATCTTTCGGTGTCCTCCGCCAGATTGGCTGTTTGCTCCTCCATTTTCAGCAAGAGCCCCTCGGTATCGGCCAAGGCCATACCACTCCTTTCCAGACTCGCAACGCTCTAAAACATTACTACTACTACTACTACTACTACTACTACTACCACTACTACTACTACTACTACTACTACTACTACTACTACTACTAATACTACCACTACTACTACTACTACTACTACTACTACTACTACTACTACTACTACTACTACTACTACTACTACTACTTACCCTAGCCTCTCGTTCGTCCATTTTCTCCATCATTCTGCGTCTTCTCACTACTTCATCACGCAATCCCGAACTCTCACTTCTCGCCAAAGACAACTGCGCCACCATCATTTTCAATTTCGTTTCGAGCCTTTCATTAATCGCCATTTCCTCCCGTAATTTCTCCACTGCTTCCCTCAGTTCCCTATCAATTTCTCCAATACGAATTTCCGCCATTTCTCCAGCTCGCTGGGCACGCGCCAAATCAACCTCCCGAGCCGACAGTTGATCTCTCGCGCTCCTCAACTTATTAGTAGCGCACTTAGCCGACTCCACAGCTTCTTGTTTTAACCGGCAAACCTGATAGAAAAACCGTAAAATTCCGCCACGCTCAGAATTTCCCCCCTACTTCGCGTTTTAGCCACTTCACATCCTCAGCAGAGCAAACCGTATTGTCATCGCCACTGTCCTCTCCTTTTTCCTCAGCTCGAGGAGGATAAGTTTGACAACTCCCTTCGATTCGATTCGGCAATTTCTTCACCGGACTAGTTCCTGAAAAGTGACAATAGAGTTTCACCCTAATGATATGAAGAAAACACAATATCTGTCCCCTGCTATTCACACTGTAGTATCATTCAGCTAAGCTATGGCTATAATACTAATATATGTGTACAGTATCTACGTATGCTTTCTTCCCCTCTTCCTACGACGTAGCTAGCAATATTTCACAGAAAAAACAGTTGTATTTTTGGTAAAGTCTGATATAGTATTACACCACTTCAACACATGAAACTCCATTATATGAGAATTCTTCGGAAACTTTATTATTTTTTTCACATTTCAGCCGGAAACTTTCCCACTGCAAAACTGATCAAAAACTTCCCAAAATCCTCAGCTCACCGATTTCCGCCACTTCCGGCCTTCCCACTGGACTAGTCTTCACTCCACCGCTACTTTGCGTTACCAAAACCGTCTTAGATTTCTCCTCCTCACCGCTGAGTGCCGATTCCAATGTCATCTCAATTTCAACTTTTTGTTTTAGCTCTTGCTGGAGTTCCTTTACTCTTTCCCTTAAAACTTTACTGTTAGTCTCCGCAGCCTCCAAAGCTGATCTCAACCTGCTCACTTCATTGACCACCGATGAAGGCCACCTCCTCCTAGTTGCCGAGCTCGTCGCTAGAAACTCTTCTCGAATCGATTCGATTTCCTGCGAGTTCGCAGCGCCCTCCAACAGGAAATGCAGCAGTTCGTTTTCAGCCCGCTCGGCCGTATGCGAGTCCATAGAGCCCCGCAGACTAGACCCCACATCTGCTTCTGCTGAAGTTGCGAACATCGCTGTTGACTCTGGTGTGGTACTTGCCGTAAAACTCGGTTGAGAATTCCCATCTACACAAAGCCTCAGTGTTGGAATATATATTTGCTCTCCTCCTTATGGGAGTTCACACAGAAACTCAGATAGGAATTTACAAAAACCAACAAAAATTTCCTCCCAGAATTTTCATATTGTCACTAACGCCGGTTCTACTCCCATACCTCGCATTCTTACCTTCAACGTAATGACCATAATTTTCCTCTAAAGATAATTTTAATTTTTCCACTTCTTTTTCCGCCTCCTCCCCACGTCTCCTCCACAAGGCCACTTGATCCTGCAGCCTTTCAACCTCTCCCGTTGACTTTTCCAACAACGCAACGAGCTCTTCGATTTCGCTCGGACTGGCCGCCGCCACCGCAGATGTTACTCCAGCTTCAGAACTCCTCTGAAATCACACTAATATGCAGTGTGGAGAAATATGCACATGGTCAACCACATATGTTGGTGGCGATGCGAATATCATAAGGAAATTTTAGGAAATTCTCATTGGTTTCTGTAAATTTAGACGGAATTGATTGTGAACTTCTACAATTAGTGAGAAACTTCTGAACTCAACTGAGGAAAGCGATTACATATATTTCAACACTGCTAATACGTATGAATATATCATCTCGCTTTCCTCAGCTAAGCTCAGGAGCTCACATACGGACGTCATAAATCGATTCTAACTGCGTAAGTTCCTTGTTAAGAATTTTGCCTCCCTGGTTCACCGATTCGAGAAGCGAGCTCTTTTACCGATCTCATCAAAACCGGGAATTCTCAAACAATGATGAAGTGTACAGTGGAGTTTCACCACCACCCTAGTGATATGAAAAAAACATATTTCACGACTACTGCATATCACCGCGAATGTCCAGTTTTTCACAGAGTATTACGACGCCACTTCACGTAAAACGGGCGGTCGTGAAACTCCGATATATAAAATCATAGTAAACTAGATGTAATAATATAATCTCAAAATGCTACAGAGTTTCACAACCCTAGTGATATGAAAAACATATTTCACGACTACTGCATATCACCGCCTTTTTCACCGAGTTTTACGACGCCACTTCACGTAAAACGAGTCGTGAAACTCCATCAAACAATTTCCCATATTGTCACCAACACATGTGCATATTTTTAAACACTAATTCCAAGTGATTCGATACCGACCTGAACAGCAGCTTCCTTTTTAGGAGGACTGAAAAAAGTGGTATGAACTAATACCATTTTTCCACATATCAAACCTTTGGACGGTCCTCTCGTTATTTTGCATTGATCTCGTCGTGCGAAGTGAATCGCATTCGTCCTCTAGCTCTTGGCATCTACTTGTGAGGTGCTCCACTCGCTTCTGTAGATCTACAGCATACAACACTCTGTAGATTTCACCCTAGCGATATGAAAAAACAACAACACCAGTGGAAAACATATTTCACATTCACTTCGTGGAGAAAAACATTTGTGAAATCTGTCTTGTGATTTACAATGAATACTTCGCCACTTCACGTCAAACGGGTGGAGCTCCTATACAGTGTTGGAGTAGGAATATATGTAATCGCTTTCCTCAGCTGCTGAGCTCAGAGGTTTCCTATACAGTGTTGGAGTAGGAATATATGTAATCGCTTTCCTCAGCTGCTGAGCTCAGGAGTTTCCTATACAGTGTTGGAGTAGGAATATATGTAATCGCTTTCCTCAGCTGCTGAGCTCAGGAATTTTCTCACTAGTATACAAATTGACATACGAATTCGTGTTAAAATGTACAGGAATTTACAATACTCTCCCAGAATTTCCCCGGAATTTCCAGATTGTCACTAACACATGCGCATATTTTCCCTCACTACATGAAAATTCGTATTTGTTAATATTACTCACTTGCTGGAAAAAAACTTTCTTATAGGGAAATTTCCGAAATTTTCAGTAAATTTGTTTCTGGCATGTTAGCGTCACCACACGCTGTCGTGCATGCGCCTACTTCCCACGCTGGATGAAAATTCAAGAAAACGTATTTGTTAATATTACTCGAAAAAAACGGAAAAATCACGGAAAAACATCACCAACATGTGCATATTTTCCCACATATGGACTCACCGTGAACAGTTTTGATTTCAATTTTCATTTCCTCGTTAGTTGCATTAACACTTCTAACCTCGCCCTCTAGAACCTATACTTCGCTTGAGCACCAATAAAAACCACCACCCGAAACCACCTGAGCTCGGTCTGCTAAAGCGCTGTTCTCTGCTGTGAGCCGTTCCACTTCCTTAGAAGAATTTGATGCTGATGTTCGTACAGATGCCAGGAGAATTTCTTGCGATCTTATTTTTTCCACCAGCTTCTCTACATCTGTTTCGTACCTGATGTTACTCAACATCATCACGACTGCGTCTCCTACTGCGGAAATTTTCGTCTCGAAAGCGACCCGTTTCACGTGAAGTGGCGCTGTAAAACTCGGCGATATGCAGCAGTCGAGAAATATGTTTTTCATATCACAAAATTCATGATGGTGTCCTCACCAGTGACTTTGATTTCCCGAGATCAACTAGAGCAAGAGACTATAAAAGGAAGGCGAAAACTTGTTCACTATAATTTTTCCTCCAAAATTCACACAGCAAATCAACACGCACTGTGTAACCCCTTCGCGGTTCTCTCCGAAACACTACTTTTCGCGGCAAATATCGAACTCATTCTGCAAATCCAACTTCTCCAACTGCATGCACTGAGCGAACCTAAAACGCCAACATAATGCCTTTTCCACTGTGGGAATATATGTTAGGTTTCCTCAACTGAGCTCGTAAATTTTCCCACTATACTTTGAAAAAAAGTTACACGAGTTTGGGTAGTTTTCTCAAAATTTCCATATTCCTAACAACACATGTAGCTGACCATGTGCGTATATATTCCCACCACACTGGGGAATATATGTACATGATCAACTACATGTCTGAGGAAATTATAATTTTTGTATATTTCTACCCAGAACCTTCATAATGCTAAGGGGAAACTCACGAGCTCAGTTGAGGACAATATGCAAATGGTCAACTGGTGAAAAATGAAATTTCTGAGGAAAATTTTGGAAAATTCTTATATATTTCTACCCGAATTCATATTGAAACTTCTATACTAAGCGAACACATATTCCCACGCTGGTGTCTTATCACCTCCGCAGTTGCATAGTAGTCATCACGCTGAGCTCAGGAAGCGGCCCACTCGCTGTGGTTTCTTCTTGCTGTTGTTGTTGATAGCTATCCATTGCTATCTAGGTGGGGACGAGGACTAGCCTGGATGCCATTACTGGCCTCAAGAAAATCTATAAGACAAGTCCTTGTTGGTATCGACAAAACTAAACGCAACATTGACCGAAAAAAAACAAGCGAGCGAACACTATCATGGGAATTGTAACTGGTGGAGCAGTAAACACCACTGAGCATGTTGCCCTACACTTTATTGTGAACAACCATGATTTTCATCCACAGTGTTGGAGTAGGAATATATGTAATCGCTTTCCTCAGCTGAACCTAGAGGAGTTTCCTCACTCACTATACGAATCCGGGTAGGAATTTGCTCAGAATTTTCATATTGTCACCACCAACATATGTGAGTATTCTTCGTCCACACTGAACTAAACATAACGCAATAACTTCATAAAAGACACAACCGGTACGGTAAAATACGCACATGGTCAACTACATGTGTAGGGGACATTCGAGAAAATTCTGAGGGAAATTTAGGAAACTCTCATTGGTTTCGGTACACTTCTACGCGAATTTGTATGTAAACTTCTATAATCAGTGAGGAAACTCCTACGGAAAGCGAACATATATTCCAACACTGAATTCAACTACCAACAAGAGGACGCCGGGGAATTCGTAACAAAATTGATGCTCGCCACGTATCGATAGGCGAATTTTTTTCAACTGACGCTTCCACGGTGAAACCGACGAAATCACTAATTAAGTTAACTTAATTAG